TCAAAAGATGATTAATTTGATATATTATATATGTAAAACCGATAAGAAATATAAAAGTTATCAACTTTTAAAATACATTTATAATTCAATAGCTTATTGAAGGAAACAAATTAAAATTTAGGGATATATTAGTCACTTAGTGCTTCACTATGTAAAATTACAAATAATTAAAGTGTTATATTAGTAAAACTGATATTAAAATACCTAAGTTAGCTAAATAATATTTATGGGATACCCGAACCTAGATTATTAATTATTAATATATCAATATTATTTGTCCAATTATTATTTTTTATTACTCTAATGATAAATATAGTTTATTTATTTTATATACAATATGGATGTCAAATCGAAGATCATCAAAAGATGATTAATTTGATATATTATATATGTAAAACCAATAAGAAATACAAAAGTTATCAACTTTTAAAATACATTTATAATTCAATAGCTTATTGAAGGAAGCAAATCAAAATTTAAGGATATATTAGTCACTTAGTGCTTTACTATGTAAAATTACAAATAATTAAAGGGTTATATTAGTAAAAGTGATATTAAAATACCTAAGTTAGCTAAATAATATTTATGGAATACCCGAACCTGGATTATTAATTATTAATATATCAATATTATTTGTCCAAACCTAATTACGAAGCATGATTCTTCGCCAAATAGGATTCCGAAGCACCAGAAACAGCCACGTAGGCTTAGCGCATTCGGGAATTATATATAGGGAGGATAGATATAATTGCTAGCTTAGAATTTAATTTTACATATTTAATAAAACCTCTAAAATTTTCCCTCTATTTTCAGTTACAAAATTTATCATTAATAGTTTTTTACTTCTCACATTAACACATCCTATTAAGTGTAATCATGTATTTTTCTATTATATTATATAATAGTTATTTCTAATACCAACTAATAATAATTCACAATAAATATAAATTACATAATTATAAACAATTGTTTCAATATTAACATCAATATTATCTTTTTTCTTTTGTATCTCATTAAAAAATTTCTTTAAAAAACAATTAGTAAATTGTTTTAAGAGCATAGTCAAACAACTGTAGAAGCTTATAAACCATTGTTTTTTAATAATAATAATAATAATAATAATAATAATAATAATAATAATAATAATAATAATCAAACTAATATTATCTATTGATAATAAACAATTGTTCATAATAATAAAATCGTTAATTTATTTTTCTTAATGATCAATTTTTTGAGAATTTTAATATTAAATTCTCAAATATTACTTACTAATATTTTATGTATATCTGTGCACATGCACAGGATAACAACTAGTCGTGGTTTCATCCTCGTGTTTTGATAAGTTATATTTATGGTTTTTCATTGACATTGCTTCTCTTTTTGGAATTTAGTCCTTTCAATAAAGCTCCATATATCGACGCTTCAGAAAAGACTGCTGTTGGTGGACTATCATTGGATGGATTTCTATCGCTGGTATGCACCGTGTTTTGGTTAGACGTTGCAGATTAAGTTTCGAATAACTCATGAATGCATTAAGTTTTTAACTGTATAAACTATGCGCTGTTGCTATAAGCATTCTTTCCATTTCAAACATATTGGGGAAGTTCAAACCAGATTATTTGCTTAGACCTATTGACTTCTTGTTCCGCGTTCATGTTCTACAATTATTTGTGTCTCCAAAGTCTTAGTGATTGAAATGCATTGCAAGGAAAACTAATTATAGATTTGTACTTGGCACGTGTATCTGCCTAGTTATTAGTGCACTGATTTGTGACTCATTAGCATCTTGCTACCTCTGAAGTATAGACAATAATTTTACTGGATTGTCCTGAGAAGACATTTCTTTCCATTGACAGTCTTTTCTTTCTTTGTGGAAGCCTTTTTCTCGGAATCAGGTGTTAGTGCCCAACCACGATCAATTTTGTTATTACTACAGAAATTGCAAATGCAAGCGAACTCAACCTGTAGTTAAACTTAAAATATAAATTTGCAAAAAAAAAAATAAAAAATACAAACCATACAGATCTATTCAGGGTTTTTCCATCTTTTCTTGATAGATGGAATAAAGTATGACCCGAACTGGCTTGGAACGGGCCCGTGGTCAACAGGACCGGACCCATACCCGAGCCCATAGTTTGACCGGGCCAGTTCTGGGCCTCCTGTATGAATTTTTTGACCCGGCGGACTCGGCCCTGGAGACGTTCATTTCCCCCCCATGAACCGGCTGGTCCCGAACCGCCGGTTTTGGGCCCAAGTTTTGAGGCTCAGATACCCATCGGGTCGGGTCGGGTCGTGAACTGGCCCGCCGGTTGGCCATGTCTGGATCTGATGTTTATTGAGTCTATGCTCTTGATGCCTTCTGTGAAAGATAATGCTCAACTGCCTTGATGTTTCCTTATACTCTTGCCCATGAGGTTGGCATCAAGTTGTTCCCTGCAATATGCAAGAATACTTAATATAATACCGAGTCTTTAACTATTTGTCACCCTTTGTATTAATAATGCTGCTGTACTCTAAGACAGTAATGTTTTTGGGTGGACGCTAATTAGTCAATAGACATATGCTTTAAGCTAACTTTGTCAACTATAATGACTTATTAAGTAATTCTCCCTGGCAAATTATGTTTGCAGTGGGCACTTATGATGCTTCTGGATCCGATTCGTAGTTTGGAGACCCTGATATATATAGGTTATGGTGGCGATCCTTCATCCGCTATACGGGTAACTCGAAGAAGACGTTTAGATCGTAAAAAGCAGCAATCAGAAAGAACAGTGTATCAGTGTTTTGTTTTTGGACCAAAAGAATCAGGGAAATCTGCTTTGCTTGATAAATTCATTGGAAGGTATTTATAATTCTGCTCAACAATTTTTTTCCATGTAAGATTTTATATTCTTTTGCTTTTCAGATGTTATTCGTTTGTTATGCAAGTTTTTTCAATCCATTTGTAGGCCTTTCCGTGAAAAATATGTCCCAACAACCGGTGACAAATACGCTGCTAATGTCTTCGATCAACCGTCAGTAAGTGCCCTCTGTTGCTTTTAAATGGTGACATATAAAAGAATATATACTTGCCTGCTTGCAGGATTTCATATCGTATTGTGAGTTTGCATACTTGTGCCGTACATATGCATTTGGAATTCAAGAAACTGGCTCAAATAATTGTGCTGCGGGAGCTAAGTTGACTCCTTTATTAAATATGAGATTTGTTTGGAACACTTTTTGGTACTTTTTCCTTACTGTTGGTTGCTTTTGATATCAACTGCTCCCCAGAATGGTATGATGTGCTCCACGTCTCGGGATCCCTCCAAAGTTTTAGCATGTTACTATTTGATATCACTGGTTGGTGGGATACATAGATTTAAGTATTGTATCTTAATAGGGACTTAGGAAGACTCTGGTGTTGCGGGAAATCCCTGAGGACGGAGTGAAAGAGTTACTATCTAAGAAGGATGCATTGGCTGCATGTGATGTTGCATTGTTCGTTCATGACAGGTGGCTGATATTTTTCACTAATTATTATTGTTGCAGTTTTCTTGAATATATTTGTTAAATGGGCCTAGCTAAAACTCACTTCGAAAAGCTCTCAAAGCAAGAGAGTGCGAATCCACACTTATGCACAATAACAACCTAGTAACTTATCGATGTGGGACAAACATAAACTTCCAACACATGGCCTCATGTGTAGCGGGCTAGCGGCCAATCCAGATTTGCCGGGTCCAACCCTAACATCATCTCCAAGTCCAATATAACAGACCTGTATACTCTGATACCATGTTAAACAGGTCTGAGTGAAACTCAACCCCAAAAGCTAGTTCAAAGGGAAAGGGTGTCCAATCGTTACTTATCCACATTCCACAATGGCTGTCCACTACCTAATCCATTTTAGGAGAAACATAAATTCTGACAAGAATCTTGTGAATGATTGCTCTTTTGTCACTATAAATTTTAATCATAAGTAACACATTGAGATAGAATAAGAAACGTGGATATCTTTTTTTCTACTCTTTATTACTTTTTGTCTCATTCTCAACGTGGATATCTTTTTTTCTACTCTTTATTACTTTTTGTCTCATTCTCTTGTGAGCAAAACATGAAGCCTAATAACAGGTCTACTTTGATACCCTTGACCCAGTTATATATAAAATGGAGGCTATAACCAATTCTTCCACTTTATATTGGTTTGAATAGCCAATTCTCTTGATTCAGTACAAACATGTATGTTTTTTGTCATTGCTTGCCATCCCAATGGAGTTGACTTAGTACTACGTAATGCCAAGAATAATTGATACAGTGCGTTATAAGAGAGTTATAAGAGAGTACAACGGATTACAGCAACCATTTTGGTTAACAATTCTCACAAAGCAAGTAATGTTCCATTTGTGTGTGTCAGGAACTACGCACCTGGCCTATTAATGGTTGTGGACTGTATACTAGCTCCTGGTTATCAATTTATTTCATAATATAAATGTTTGATTTGAGTTTTTGCTGGCCTAGTTCTTGTGAGTCTTCCTGGCAGAAATCAACAGATATGCTTGTGGATGTGGCCAGTCAAGGGGAAGCTACTGGTTATGAGGTGCCCTGTCTCATTGTTGCTGCTAAGGATGATCTGGACCCTTACCTGACAGAGATCCAAGATTCAACAAGGGTAATGATTTTTCTCAAAAGTCAATAAGAGTTGACAATATCATGTTCCTTACAACCAAACCTACCCCAAGAATATATAGGGAATAAGGGGAAAAAGATGCCTAGGCAGGATAAATATCTTACAATATTGATTGTTTAGTTCTCGTATTCAAGTCATGTACCAGAAACTTTTGCATCTTTTATTTTTGAGGAGATAGAGAACAATTTGATGATGCGTGGTTAGCCATTAGGTTTCCGGTTCAGCTTGACCTTATGCAGATTTCTTTCTTCAACTGTTAAAAGTCTGTATCTCACTTGAAAATCTTCGCACTGCCTCAGCAGAAAATGCTGGCATCGGATTGTTTAAGTTGTATTATGAGTTTGCATCTTGAATTAAGGAGGGTAGAACACATCTTTGTCCCTCATTTACAACAATTTCCTTAGAACTAACACTGTTCTACCAAATGGCTATGAGAATACATGATGCTTTATGTTTATTTTCGAACCCTTTTAATGTTGACCATATAGCTGTATTGATGGTCAGCAATCAGTGGTAGTGTTTATTTTTTAGTGAAGCTGCTTATTTGAAAACTGACCATGTAAATTTGAACAGGTAAGCCAGGATATGGGAATAGAGGCTCCTATCCCTCTCAGCACAAAGCTGGGAGACTTGAGCAACATTTTTCATAAAATTGTGAGAGCAGCTGAGCATCCCCATTTAAGCATTCCTGAGACATCAGCCGGGAAAAGCCGCAAGCAATATCACCGGCTTATTAATCGCTCTCTAGTGTTTATATCAGGTATCATACAGGTTTTTTTAAAGCTCATTGAAATCAGAATATTTTCGTCTTGCGAAATCATCAATTGCTGTTGGGATTGATTAAAAAAACCTAGCCGGAAGTCCCATTTAAAATTTATAATTGTCACCATACCTTCCGAAACGTGTGCAATACCAACTTGAGGGTTGTATCTGTTTTTCAAATTACCTAGCGACTACATTGCAGTTTATTAATTTGATGTATGTTTAGTTGTAATTTGTAATTTTGTATGTATATATGTACACTACATTTTAACTAATCTGGGGGTAGTATTTTAACTATCCCTATTTCTTATTATTTTTCTGGAACTCAGAGGTATATTGAACTTCAATCCCACAAAGGTTTGCCGGTGTATATGCATATCTGGTTTCTGGATCATTGGATCTGTTACGGGGATTATAATGTTAACTTAATATGGAAACCATCTAATGACTTTATTCTAAACTAATAATGCTCTTTCGAAACATTATCTTGAATGTTGTGACATTGCAGCACACTTGCATGTTTTTCTTATTACAAAATGCTGAAACTGTTATCCGTTTACAGTTGGAGCAGCTGTTGCTGTTGTTGGGTTGGGCGCATACCGTGTTTATGCCGCAAGGAAAAGTTCTTCAAGTTAAGAGAAGATTTCTTCGTAGTCTGGGGCATTTTCATTTTGTTTTTCTCGTGGTGAGTTGCGGGGTAGCAAAAGGTGGTTCCTGCAGTTGAATATGTTGAAATCGGCTTTGTAGGGAAATGCAACTCGAATACCATTACTTGCCATGTTGGTGATGTTTTCCTTTGGTCGTGTTCCCCCTGTTTGAACAATCTAGTAAAAATGGCGGGTTGTTTTTTGGACGAAGATGTGGATGAAATTACTGCATTTGCATATGATAATCTTTGTAGCAGAATAAAGACACTTGTGATCGTGAATATTCTTTTCTACTGACTGTAGGGAATATTGATGTCTGGATCTTGAGTATTACTGATACTGTGGCATCATGATTCATGTTTTTAGCCTTTCTGATTTTAGCTCGCTTTCTACTTTCTTCTGGTTGACCTGTTGGGAGACTCAATTAGTTTTGGAAGTTCTGTTTATAACTATAGGATCATTTTTTAATAGTAAAGATTGATAGCAGGTATTAGCATCAAACCTACAGTGCTTCTGTTACAAAATATATATTGGGTCTACAACCATACTGGGTTAGGATACCAGATTTCTTATCAAACTTTAACGCATGCTTGATACAAATATATCGGCTCAAAACGAGTTATGGTTAATTTAAAAAACATGTATGATTAGTTGTTAGTGAGATTTTTTTGAGTTTATAATAAAATAATATTTAAATAAAATAATAAAAAGTCGATTTGATATAAAAGTATGAGAGATGATATTAATTGTTAGCCAAAATTATGTGAGTGGATGAATAGTGAAATTAAGTTTATTTGATATGTAAGAATAATTTATTGATATTATTTAATAATATTGATCATATTGAGAGACGAATTGATTCATTCTCACAGGACGGTGGCCAAGAGACTGATTGGACTGCTTCGACCGATTGCCTCGCTTCATGAAGTAGATAGGGACGGCGACGTAGGCTTAGCTTCAGATTGGTTGACCTACTATTCGCACGTTTGACACGCTTCATCCATTCTCAATCTGTCTATTTTATCTTTATGATGTCAACTACCTAAATAAGGATAGGATAGACCGAGTATAACGAGGAAGAAAGTGCTGATAGTTGAGATGAGTTGAGTTGAGTTAGATTTTTTAGTATCGATTAAGTATTTTTTTTTTTATTTTTTTTCTGTCGGAATGATAAGAAACACTTATATTCACAACAATTCGAGACAAGAGAATAGCTATTCAGTCGAATAATCGGCCAACAGCCGAATAAACAATCAACAACCGAATAAGCTGAACAACTTACTCTTGTAGAGAGGACTACACACGTACACACAGATTATAGCCTAGAATCCACCTACAACACATTAAAACTAAATACAACTACACAATTCTCCCCGCGGCAGACAAACTACACGAAGCTACTTAGCGACAACGCCAAACAGACGTCCATTCAAACAGACCAAGCTATAGCCCCAGAATACGACCCAAAAACTGTAGAAGAACGCCTAACTAAGCCCAACACAAACAACCCTAACCCAAATCCTATGGATGCCCTACCCTAGGCCGAAGACCTAAACCTCAACCACCCACAATCGATACCAAACAAAACTAGGCCCAAAGTGCAATACTCGGACCTCGGTCTGGCCTCGGCTGCCAACCCCTCCATCGAACACCAGGAGAAGAGAAGCAACCCGGTGGAATTAGCCGGAATCTCCCCCGAAATCCCCCAAAAAGGGAAAAAATGGGCCGCCACCCAAAATCGAAGAGAACGCCGAGCCTCGCCGCAACGGAAGAAGACCACCTGCAAACCCCATCCCAGCACCTGAGACCACGACGAAAACTACTCAGGGGTTGTCTCCGCCTTCTCCAATGAAGAAACAACACATCCCACCGACGATCCTCCAACAAATGGGCACAAGGCCTAGGGCCGTCGTCGTCGAGCAACTTGGAGAGCCCCACCGAGGCGGGG